TGGTTCACCTCGATTTTTAGCTAAGTGTTGAATTAAATCAATCATGTGTCTTAGTTGGAGGCTTATCGAATGCATTGAACTAATCAAGATGTTTTCAACTTAATGGGATTGTGACAATACAATTCCTTCTGAACTTTTACAGATTTTAATCCCTAATATTACATCGGCTTTTTCAATATCATTTATATCGAAATTATTTTTCAACATTTTTTTGATACTAAGAATCAAACCATTATCTTTTCTTGAGATCAACATGTCGTCCACATATAGGCATACAATCACGAATGAATCGACGTTACCTTTAATATAGACACTTTTGTCACACTCGTTGATTTTAAATCCGTTCGACAACATCACTTTGTCAAACTTTTCGTGCCATTGCGTAGGTGCTTGTTTTAGTCCATAAAGCGACTTAACCAAGCGACACACTTTTTTACTTTCTGGGAGCAATGAACTTCTCGGGTTGTTACATATAAATTTCCTCTTCGAGGTCTCCATTTAAGAAGGTAGTTTTCACATCCATTTGATAAATCTCAAGGTCGTGCATTGCAGTAATTGCAATGAGAACACATATAGATGTGATTAGAGTTACAGGGGAATATGTATTAAAGAAATCATATCCGTTCGTTTGCTTAAACCCTTTCCAATTGGGCCTTATATTTATCAATAGTTCCATCAGCTTTATATTTCCTTTTAAGGATCCATTTACATTGTTGGAAATAATAGATAACAATGGAGAAAGAGACACTCAACAAAACTCACTTTTTATTTTATTTAATATTTCTCTCAAGAACAATAATATGTAATACAAGGCTCAAACAAGTTCTTTGGAACTTTGTCCAAAAACTCTATTTCCTCCCTCTCTTTGAAATCTTTAGGGAACACAAAATGGAAAGGAGTTTTGGGATTGATCAAGCCTTTTTTTTTCTTCATAAGATTTCACAAAGAAGAGAAGTATATATAGGTGTCATTTGCCATGTGTGGTTACAAATGTAAGAACTTAATTTCATAACTCATCTTGTTTAATGAGATACATTAATCTCATTAAGTTGCAACTTGTTTAATTAATTCAAGATTAATTAAACCTACAAGTTTCAAGTGTAATGTGAAGTGAAACTTATCCACATGCATTGTCTTGAAACTTATCCTACATGCATATTGTATTGAAACTTATTTTACATCCATGCATTGTATAACTCAATTTCACTCATGCATGTAACATATAAGTTCTCTTACACCTTTGCATGTAACATATAATTCATCTTACATTTTTATTTTAACCAAAATATAACATACATCCCAAAGGTTTGCTACCCGGTGGGAGATCAACCAACTCCCAAGTATTATTGTGCATAATAGATTGAATATCACTATTGATAGTTTCTTTCCAAAAAGGAGCATCCGGACTTGCCAAAGCCTCCCGAATGGTTCTCGGTTCATTTTCTATTATATAAGTTAGAAATTCAGGACCAAAAGACTTAGGTACTTTTGTTCTCTTACTACGCCTTGACTCATCCTCAATTTTTTGAGGTAGCTTGGCCTCTTCGTAGGTCTTTTTTCTTGAAATTGTTTCTTCCTTGTCTTTACGAGGAAAAATATTCTCAAAGAACACTGCATTCCGAGACTCAATAATTGTTCCATTATGAATCTCCAAAATTTCTGATTTGTGCAGCAAAAATCGATAAGGGCTACTATTGTTTGAATAACCAATAAATATACAATCAATAGTATTTGGTCCAGTTTTCACTTGTTTAGGTTTAGATATTTCAACCTTTGCCAAACATCCCCACACTTTTAAGTATTTGTAGGTAGGTCTATGACATTTCCATAACACATATGACGTTTTGTCGTTATCTTTGTGGGGGTAATTTATTCAAAATATAATTTTCCGAAAGAACCGCTTGCCCCCACAAGTTTTGGGGTAAACCCGAACTTATCAAAAGTGCATTCATCATCTCTTTTAGTGTCCGATTTTTTCTCTTGTCCACTCCATTAGATTGTGGTGAATACGGAGTCGTCGTTTGATGCAGAGCACTTCAAACGGGGGTACATACTCGTCTCCTCCATTACTTCAAATCGCTTTGATCTTTCGAGTCAGTTGATTTTTAACTTCATTTTTATACGTCTTAAAGGTCTCTAATGTCTCGTCTTTACTCTTTAATAGATAAACATAACAATACCTTATACAATCGTCTATGAATGTAATTAAGTATTTCATCCCCGTTCAAGTTTGCACAAACTTTAAATCACATATGTAAGTGTCATCTCTTTGCGTTTATGCATGAGATAGTTTTTGAAGTTCTTCTAAAGTGGTGGTAACTTTTCAACAATAGCCGCAACTTGGAAGGCCTCATTCACAACCAATCCTTCGACTAACAAATCGTGAAAGATGATTTGAATCTCTTGAACTTGGCTAACCACCGACTTGGTGTCCACCATTAAGTACTTAGGAATTTGCCGACGAGAAATTTCTTAATCCCGACATCTTCCGTCCTGTATTTCATTTCCAAGGAACTCCACAACTTCTTTGTCGTCTTAATAGGACTCTGGACATTAAAGAGAGAGTTGTCTAGTCCGTTAAGGATATAATTTCTACACAAGAAAATCATTGTGATGCCAGGCATCCGAGGTCGTACGCTTTTGCACGTCGGTCTCACTTTCGGGGACGACCAAAAGGGTCCTCCGAAAGAAAACGAGAGAGGGAAAGAGTTGTGAGGTAGAAAAGCATCTTTTGTTGCCACCTCTTGAAATCAGAACCATTGAACTTTGGTGGTCTCTCACTTTGCACAGGAGCAGCTACCATTGTTATAGCGGTAGGTTGAGTATTTGTTTGGTTTCCTTCGGTTGTCATCTTAGGAACTCACAATATTTCGTCTTACGATTGTAGTTCATATTTGGCATGTGAATTTCAAGGGAATGGTAAAACGAATAAAGCCGAAGCACGTAAGATATGCTCTCATTAAGACAAAATAGCCCCGTATATTACCCACGGTTCACATCTAACGCCTCCAAGATACAACGATTTATGATTTGCATATAGCGGTAACTCAAATACACAAACCTTCGGTGAACAATACTTATATTTTGGAACTCTCAAGATAGAAAAGAACACAAACACAAGATGATTATAAACTTTGTAAATGCTTTTACAGAGCTTCCTTCTTGTATCATCAAACCACCACCCATTAATACAACACCAACATTATTTGATAAGCAACGGATTGAGCAACTAGCGCGAAAGCCGTTGCGCGTTAGCGCATCCGTTTTCTTGCTGGGCAGATGTAATTTAGGGTGCGAGAAGCTAAATTAAGAGCAATGCCTATTGTACCTTCTTCAAATTCAATCAATTCACCCGCCATTACTTCATCAAGACCGTGAATACGAGCAATACCATCGCCTACTTGAAGTACGGTACCGATATTTACAATCTTGACCTCACAAAGAGATCTTTAAAGTTTGATGTAATGAATAATTTCATGTTTGTTGGAACTTATAAATGTAGAAAAACACCTCCAAGAAGTTTAAATATCAGAAGACATCTTTTGGGACATGCCCGAACAAGAACTGTATCCATCTAGTGATCAAAAGACACCTTATGGTCACCAAGGGTCACAACTCTTCGATTATCGCGTCCAGTTGCGCGCCCGTGCACCGCAAGCTCGTACGAGCTCATACAGACTCAGAATCAAGTTCCATTTTTACCTACTTGTCCCCAAGGAGCCCTTTTACAATTCTAGCATACATAATGCATAATTATGACTCATTTAGTTTGTCAAAACAAAATCTTTGTGAACCCTACAAGCTTTGAGTTATTTAAACTCAATTAATTAACATATAACACTCAAAATTAATTTCTCATTCACCTTACAAATGTTTTAAGAATTTCCTAAGCCTTCTTCTTACAAAAAATAAAATAGTTAAATCGGTACAAAACCAATTATTTCTTTCAAACACAAGCCCTATTTCTGCACATAAAAGTGGCAACACATTGAAATTAGTAACTAATAAGTTTCACGCAAGAACTGTAGCAGTAACAGTGACAAAAGACTACTAGTACAAGGGAGTTCTGAGTAGTTTACTTACAAATGACAAAAGGAGGCCATGTTCAAAATGTGACAGCACACATGAATGTTACTGAGCAACTTCGAGGATTTAGATAGATTGGCCACATTAAAATATACATGAATATAAATGGTCAGGGCTGGGCAGATGACTACAACAGTTCAATATTCCAAAATCAAGGCGCAGCGGAACAATTAGGGCAGAAAGGATCTTCCATCAGTTAGCTTGCCTTCTCAACTTCTTGTTCTACAGGACTGAAAGTTTTATGTTAGTTCAGATATGAAAGAAAAACTAACAGCAAACACACCAAATAAATAAATAAATAATAAAAAAAAAGAAGTTGCTTCAACTGGCTAGTAATTCCTTACTGCCAACTTGAGTTCAAAGACAATAATTCCACATGTTCTAGCATTTCAATCTGCTGACTGGCACAGGATAAAGAAAACTTCAGAAAGGAACTCGTGTTTTGAAAAAGGACGCGCAATCATTTTTTTTGACATTTCAATATCAAGACCCATGTGTCCATTGCACATGGAGCTAGAAGAGTCATTGTTGACAATTCTTCTGGCATAGTGCTAATAATGGACTAGATCAAAATGACTCAATTCAAATTCTAGTGCTTCTTCTATTAGTGAAGTTTCTAGAAAAAATATATCAAACGACACAATGCATATTGGGTCGCTAAGGAAACAACCTCCTTGTATAATTTAAAGGGTAAGGTCTGCTTACAACTGACCCCCCAGACCCCAACCCGTTTGGGAATATACTGGGTATGTTGTTGATGATGTTGATGTTCAATATCAAGATCCAATTTGAAGATATCAAGGACCATATTTCCCAAAAACAATATATGAGAAATAAATATTTAAAACTCAACTTGGTAAAGGGATTAAATAGAGAATTGAATAATTATAGTGCTATGGGACGAGTATACTTACCAGACAAGCTCGCTGAGAGAAGACACAGCATTGTGTAAAGCATGTATAGCCATCTTCATTACCTACATCAAGGAATGCAGTAGGACTTAGTCATCAGCCCAAGAAAAAAAATTCAATTCACGTAACAAGAATTTATATATTGGTCTGCACCTATTAGATTGAGTTTCTATTGCATCAAAATTCGGAAGGCAAAGATTAACTGAATAAAGCAGATTCCAGGGCACATATGTACTGGATTCCACCTTAAGTGAGTTTTACGACTTCCAAAGGAAACTGTGAAGGCACAATGAGGTCCACTTTAAAAATGATTGGCATTTCACAAAATTCTAAAATAGGAAATACATATAAGATACCTTATCAGACTGTTACCATTGTATAAAATTAAACATTTCATTTTATATAACATGAAAAACAAGGTAGCCTGACACATTTACTAATTCAGCCTAACAAAGGCCAGTCACCATCTTTTGTTAATCTCACCAGCATACCACTATCAAGTATATCAAGGCCCATATAGCCCATCTATATGTATGGCTATTCACATCAAAGGATACACACATTAAAAAACATAATAGGGTAACATTAAAAAACACTAGGTTTGTAACTTGATATCACAGTCACATAATAGGGTAACATTCGGATCTCACCTCCCATGCCAATAGCATCGGTGCCCCAGGATTGACCTTTCGGTCTTTTTCTGTTACCAGGCAACTGCTGGAAGCATGATACATAATGGAGACTGTGGGATTCTGTCTGCTCGGTTATGTTTTTTCGAGGGTTTTAGTGTCCATTATGCCCTTTTTTCATATCCGCCTCTTGTCAGGGTTAGAGTTTGTGTACTCTAATTCATCCCAACACTCGTCATTTTTTTTGTCTTCATATCATTCATGCGGTCCTGTCCATCGCAGCACTTTCATTCATATTTCATTGCGGCTTGTTGTGTGTATGAAACATCGATGTTCTGTACCATTCACATATCGCGAAGGCACTCTTGTCGTCATACGTCATCGAATCATGTCACAACTTAATGCAATTGCTATCAATATCACACTTGATGGTTAGAATTATCGGGAGTAGGCCTTTTCTATTGAAATCATATTGAGAGGTTATGGTCTAGCTTTCCACTTGGCTATGTATGGACCCAAATGAAAGGCTGATAATAGTAACGTTGCTGACATCACGATATGGCAATTTAATGATGGAAGTGATGGCTACCATCATCAACAGTACCAAGTAGTCCATGATTATGAGTCTTTCCACTTTTCAGACAGCGAATGCAATGTATTCCTATTTGCAACAACAGTACGTTCAAGACAGTGGTGCAACACACTTACTCATGTGATTGAACAAAATGATTCTTTAGTTTTTTACCACTGAGGGTACTCTTGCCAACTCTCCTATCCTGGTGCACATACTCAAAATGGTGTTGTGGAGAGAAAACACCGTCATGCCATCTCATTGAAATGTCTCAAATTCTTCTCATTGCCAACTTTGTTCCTTTTCATTTTTGGGGAGAAGTTGTGCGCGAAGTTGCATTTTTCTTGGTTCTACTTGGTTCTGCATGGCAGACAGTTGTATCTTGATCTACCACAGCAACACAAAGGCAGAATTTCAAGCACTTGCCACTACTCCTTCAAAAATTATATGGCTTCGATGGTTGTTAATTGATTTTAGTATTCGATGTGATGCTCCTACACCTCTTTGCGATAACACTGGAGCAATATAAATTGCTAATAATCCTGTGAAACATGAACTTACAGAACATATTAGTAGCCATGCATCCTTTACTCGATCACTGTTCTTCAGTATGTGCTCTCAGAACTGCAACTGGCGGATTTCTTCACCAAAGCACAAACTAAAAGAACATCGGCTTTACTTGTTCAATCTCAATGGTTCACGCCCTCCACAAGTCCAGCTTGAGTTTGAAAAGCGGTGTTAAGTATATCAAGGCCCATATATCACAGGCCTATACGCCTCCATATAGCTTATCTATATATATGGCTATTCACATCAAAGGATACTAACATTCAAAAACCCTAAAAAAATTCCAATCGTTGTTAACAAATTACTTCTTTTAACTCAAATCTAACTCAACTTTAACTCAACCCTACTATCTTCAATATTATCAATATATATCAACATCATCAACATCAACATACCCAGTATATTCCCAACAGGTTGGGGTCTGGGGGGTCAGTTGTACGTAGACCTTACCCTTGTAATTATACAAGGAGGCTGTTTCCATAACCACCCAAGATGCGTTGCGTCGTTTGATATATTTTTTCTCTAGAAACTTCACTAATAGAAGAAGCACTAAAATTTAATTGAGCCATTTTGATCTAGTCCATTATTAGCACTATGACAGGAGAATTGTCAACAATGACTCTTCCAGCTCCATATGCAATGGACATATTCAATATTATCAATATAATTAAATAATATCACTATTATCAATATAATTAAATAATACCACTCAATCATTCTTACACATCAACTTTAATTCACTATTCATCTACTAACAAATAACCATACCACTTTTTTCAAAATTAACCACACCAAATAAAAATAATTCAAAATCAAAATATTTTATATCCAAGCATCCCCTAGGTTTGTAACAACCATTATCGAAAAATTTTCTAGTACACCAATAAATAAAACAACACCCATGGGGGAAAACAACTAGTTAGCAAAAGCATCTTTACCTCTAACTTGTCCTCCTTAGCCTTGTGGTTCTGGGGAAGAGCACGAAATTCCTCGGTTAGTCGAATGCACTCTCCAAGATTTTCAGGGGAAACAAAGTCGAGAGCAACTTTAATGCAAGACTGAAAATCACAACAAACGGACATAAATTATACATCAATTATACTCAATATTAAGTTACTTAGATAAGATTTATAGATAGATTTACCAAACATAACCCAAGTGTTTTAGACTAACTCTTTGGCATTAACTGCATAAATAACCAATGTATTTCCAAGATAAATAAGACTGCATTGAAAAGTTTACATTGTGATGTTTGCTGTACCTTAAGATTTCTAACTTGATGAGGGCATCCAGCAGGGATAAACACGGCTTCTCCGAGTTTTTGCACAAAAGTCCAAGGTTCAACTCCTATATAAATTTTCAACACGCATATAATAACAACAAAAGGAATATAACAGAAAACACAAAAGCATAAGTGAGAAAAGCTGAACAACGAACCAAATTCCTCCTTGAGCTTCCCTTTATGATAAGAGGTTAAGTACAAGCTTTGATCATGAATTGGATGTACAACCTATGAAAATTTAATTTACAATTAGAATGCAAAACTAACTTGATCCACAAATCAGATATGCAATCATACAAAGGAAATATCATTACTGAACGCAAACAGAGAAGAAAGTGCATGATTAGCAAGTGCGAGGATTTCACATCAGCCCTAGATTTGTTATTTGGGCATCAAACCCTAATAACGGGAATGACCCTAGAGATTAGATAAACCAATGGCGTATGACAGATGAAATTCAAGAAAATAAATGGCATGAACTAATAAGAAATTCAAGTGTTAAAATAGCTTGGCAAAAACAATTGCAGTTTAGCCGAAGTCCATGATGAAACAAGAGAATTTGACAAATAAAAGGATAAATTAGACAAAAGCAGCTGCGCTAGGAAAACAAGAAATAAATACGCACAAAAACACCAAATTCTCTTACAATATGAAGCAATTATAAGTCCCGTGCCCTACAGCAACATTTGTTTAGTTATGTTTCCACTACATCATTACCTGCTCCACTGGTAAACCATAAATATGCCTGAATTCTTTATGATGTTTTCTAAGATATTCCTCGAGCTTCGGAACATCTTCCCGTCTGAAAATGTCCCAAAGTGCACCTCCCTCCTCTTTATCTAGTCCATTTACAGTGCTAATAAGATTAATCTGGAAAAAAAAAAATTGTGGAGTGCATAACAAAAATGGTAGGAACTAAAATTACCTTTTCCTGCCTCAATGTTGATCTTTTCTGAATGCTCTGCTGATAAACCTTCAGAATTTTTGTTCACTTTATTACACCGTTTAAAATATTTACTACTTCCCTCCGTTAAGTTCCTGTTTTCAACCATATCATCGATATTTGCAGATGGCGATCCAGAAGCCATATTTGATTCCTTAACATTGTCTGGAAGCACAGCCTTATCCTTAATTTCTTCAAGAAAAGAATCAGGATCCACCACAGAGGGCTCACTGTCATTCACCGTGGCATCAGCAATTTTACTCTGCTCAGCAGAGTGAGACTGCTCGAGACCATCTTTCATAACAGGGAAGACTTCACCTGCTGCTGTGCATCCTTCAGCCTTATTAAGGCTGACACTTGTTTCCTGCATGGCTATTTCAGTCCTTTTATCATCTTCATTGACAGTACTGAAGAGTTCTTCTTTGTCTTGCACAGCGTGCCCGTTTTTTAGTTTTTTAATTCTTTTAAGATCATATAAACTTGGATCCACATCAGCAGTGTGCATCAACACATTCACCTGAGTAGTTTCACATAACCTCCACTTAAAATATTTGCAAATGCAAGTTCACAAAACTGTTAACTTAAAAAAAGAATGGAAGGTAAAGCACAAAATAAGAAATGCCCCACATGTAAACAGTTACAAACCCAAACACAAACGTAATCATTATAAATGCAGAATCTATTGCAAGTTTAACAAATAGAACCTGGACATCACATATGCAACAATAGCACACCGATACTAGCAAAAAAAACACTGAAGGAAAACTGAAATGTCTGATAAACAAATACATCTCATTTGTGTTAACTAAAAGCTGGACATATATGAGATCTAATTCAACAACTAACCTAAGAGGAAAATCAGCAAGTCGTGTATCCAGAAATATGACTTTTATAGCTTACATCATGTTATTTATAGTTTGCTTAAGTACTTCAATATATTAGATTTTTTTTTTTTTTTCTTGTTTATAGATCTAGCACCCAAAGGTTATGAGATAAAGCGCCTCAAGGCAAAAAAGCAGAAAGTTGTCAAGTTGAACAAAAAGAATCCAACACAAATTGGCATTGGGTATGGTGAATATGACAGTGTTTCTACTTCTGCCGTAAGTCATTTGGGTATGGTGAATATGACACAGTTTTTCTACTTTTGCCGTAAGTCTTTTATCTACAATTTTTTAAAGTGCAAACAAACCCAAAAATAGGTATAGTACGTGGCCAAAAAAAATTTACCCCTTAGTTGTTGTACCACTTCCCTCCTATCAATTATAAAACAAAATTGACACTATATTTCTTTAGATAGACTGATAAAAATCAAAGTGAGAAGGTGAAATTACAATGTTCCAAAATATACATGGTTACCAGACGGTAAGTTACAGTCAGTATTATTAATGACGGATGGCGGCAAGGCCAAATTCCTCCAGAGTAGCCACCATGGCTGATTAAGGAGCCACCATAACTGCCACCCTTTACAAATTTACCATGGCAGAAATCTGCCAAGCCACACCTCCATAGCAGGAGTGCCACCATGACCACCATTTGATAACACTAATTACAACTAATCATATATCAAAAGTTCCATCTTCACACTATGGTTTTCTGCTTTTTCCCAAAACAAGCTGCAAACATGCCTCTATGCTTGATCTTGCAACCAGATGAAGAAGTCTTTGAGGCGAGTGGATAAAAATGTAAACAAGAGTAAAACATTGGCCGCAACCAGTACTATATGTGCTTTTAGACTTTGCATCCTACACTATTATTCATTGTAAAATGTAACCTGAATTTCATGAACATTTATAATTTGCACACTCGCCAACTTTTTTACCATTTGATCACCCGTAAAAATTGCAAAAATGGACGCGTGTATGGTCAATATGTTGGCATGCACTTTATGAATGTTCATGAAGTTCAAATTGTATTTTACAACAAAAAGTAGTGCAGGTTGCAAAGTCTGCAAGTTGGAAAAAATTATTTACACAATTGCAACATATACATGTGTTTTTGGACTATACAACCTCTCGTACATCATGGTCGTAAAATCATCCGCACAAAATAGACATATGGCAACATGTATGAGAGGTTACAAAAAATGTTGTACCCAATAGTCAACAATATTCACAATATAAGAAAATATAATCATTGTTATTGGAGAAGTAGAATGAGAAGAACTTTTCCAATATGCCCTAAAGTCGTTAATATTATTTTCAATGACAATTCTATAGCCACAAAAATAAAATAAGTTTGAGAAAAACCTTGACACTAAATACTTTTCATAAATATAAAATGCCCGAGAAATAAAAATAGTCACTTGATGTATCGTGTGGAATGGGAGGGAATAATTTAGCTTTAACTCAAATTCTCGAGATAGTAGATAGCGCATAACATTCATGGACAACACTCATGGACAAGAAATGGAACAAATGGAACAAATGAGGGGGAAGAAGAATATATTTATGTCTCTTTTGGTTCAAAGGGCAAGAAATGAAGTTTTAATACCATCCAAATTTTGGTGTCATTGATTATGGCCCGTACTATTAATTGCAGCAGATTGGACATACTCAAGCTCACCAAACTATTTCAGCATTTAGGCTTCATTTGGCACGCCATATGGAATAAGATTCAAAGCTTTATCCAAGTTGTTCCTTTTGTCGCTTGTCGTTTACCGTTCCTTTTCTAATCTTTTGGCATTCAGGCATACAAGAGAGATGCTTGGATATAAAAAAATTGTGGGTTTGTTTGAACCATTGGTTTTGGTTAATTGAAAAATGTGGTATGATTAATTATTAGTGGATATATTAAAATAATATTTAAAATAAAATAATTAAAATTGATTTGATGTAAAAGTAGGTGATTTAAAATGATTGTTAGTTAAAATTATGTGATTGAATAAATAGTGAATTAAATTTGATGTTATGAGTAAAAATGATTGATTGATATTACTTAATTATATTGATAATATTGATGATAGAGTGGTTCACTTAAAGTTAAGTTAAAAAAAAATAATTGGGTTAAAAACGCTTGGATTTATTTGAGTAGTTTTGTATCCAAGCATCCTCTTAGGCGTTTGTCGTTCCTTTCTCCCCTCTCAATTTATCATCATACGAATTCTTTCTCCCCTCTCAATTTATCATCATACGAATTCTTTCTCCCCTCACAATTTTTCATCGTACCGATCTATCCCCAATTCCACGCCACAACTTTTCTACAATCTGCTCATAAGCACAAAAGCGTACAAGTCCACAAGGATCCATAACTAATGCCTCAAATCTGGTAGATGTCTAGTAGCGAAGGAAGGCTAAGCCTAGGGTGGCGCCATCCACACCCATTGAAGAAACTAATATGAAGTATAATTCCATGTAATGGGGTATATCATCCCTTAAACCAAAAGAGCATTTAAACGATAATTGTATTGTACGGGGAGTGGTCCCCCACACTATCATCACCAAAATTTACCTTTTTTTTTCTTGTCTTAGCTTCAAAAGCATCTTTCCCAAGAGCATTCACCGCCTCCTTTCCCCAAGCCCGTTGCTCTTAGATATCACTATAACGAGTCGTTCGCCCACTACTCTTGGAGATTACCAGTGTCATCAGCTCAACGCCCTCACTCGTACAAGAACCGCGTAGATCTCGCACAAGGCAAAGCTTTCAATCACTAACATTAATCTTTCCATTGTTTTTTATCAAATTGTTTGAGGAAAATCGAGTGGTTGGGTAAATTAAAATTATGTTTGATTGAGATTGATTATGAGATATGACGGGGCAAAGTAGAACAGCCAAAGGAATACGAAGGCCTAAATCTCGGAAACTGCTTGGAAGGCAAAATTGATTGAGTATTCTGTATCTCATGAGATATCAAAACGAGACAACAATATTGGAAGGAAACACTATCCAATCCAAAAAAATCAGTCACAAAAACAAACACATATTTAATTTACTCTACACCATACAATAAAATTACCAAATACTAATTTCATTCATTCTCATCACAATATTTACAAAGCAAATGAGGCCTTTCTGTAGGACAACGAAGAGGTTTTTAATACTCCATATAAATAACTTAGATGAATTTTTCTTAATAAAAACATGGGAATTTTTCAAAATTTATAAGCTAGTTGGCGAAAAGTAAACATAAGGTAAAAAATAAACTCTATATTAACATAATTAAAAAAGGTATTTTATTTTAGTTCGCATATTAGGACACCAATAGGGATATCACTATTGGTTTGCATCAAGGTTCAGCGTTGAGTCCGTATCTCTTTGCATTAGTAGTTGATGAACTTACAAAATATTTGCAATTGGATGTCACCTATGGCATGTTGTTTGCAGATAACATAGTGTTAAATGATGAGACGAGAGAGAGGGTAAATGCTAATATGGAATCATGGAGAGAGGCGTTTGAACTAAGGGTTTGAAAATAAGTAGGGCTTTAGTAATCAAGTGAGTAACTAGTACAACGCCCGTGTATTACACGGGTGTTTGCTGATTTTTTTTTTAAATTTAAAATTAATGAGAAAAAGTAGTTGAAAATTTAAATATTTTTTATAAAAAATAATATTTTATATATATTAGTATGACATTTGTTACTTGTGCGACCTACATGTGTTATATTATAATAATTTTTCTAACTTATAACATATACATTAAACATAAATATATTAATTAAGAAATAATTTTATTTTTCTAATTAATTTTAATGAATATTTTTTTCATTATTATGAATATAATATAATATAATAAATATTTTATTATTACGAATATAATATAATTTATTTATTTCATATATACAATATGGATGTCAAATCGAAACTCATTACAAGATGATTAATTTAATATATAATATATATTAATTAAGAAATAATTTTATTTTTCTAATTAATTTTAATGAATATTTTTTTCATTATTATGAATATAATATAATAAATATTTTATTATTACGAATATAATATAATTTATTTATTTCATATATACAATATGGATGTCAAATCGAAACTCATTACAAGATGATTAATTTAATATATTATATATGTGAAACCGATAAGAAATACAAAAGTTATCAACTTTTAAAATATATTTGCAATTCAATAATTATAATAGGAAATGATTATTAAAATACAATTAATACATTTAAAATGATCATAAATAAATCAACATATTAATGGTAATCCAAACCTAATTATTTTTGGATTGGATTTAAATTAAAATCTATCCAACTCAAATAATAAAGCATGGAATTTTGACACATACGATCTCGAAGCATGTGAGCCTGCCACTTAAGCTCAACACATTCAGAAATTATATATAAAGGATAATGGGGTAAAGGTTAAAATTGGGGAACACAAATTGAACACATTAAAGTTAATATTTAGGAATCATTCTACAAGATAATGACAATATAGATAAGGATGTAACACATAAAATTCTATCGGGATGGAACAAGTGGAAGAGCACGTCGTCAATGCTTTCATGCTTTGTGATGGTAAAGTACTAGTGAGTTTGAAATGCAAGTTCTATCGAACGACCATTTGGCCGACGATGCTCTATTCAGAGAGTTGGACTACTAATAATGAAAATGATCAAAACATGAAAACAAGAGAGTGGTTGAGATGAGAATGTTGAAACGGATGTGTGAACAAACTAGGTTAGATAAGATAAGAAAAGAAAGTACTGGAAATAAAATTGGGGTTGCGACCATAGAGGAGAAAATGAGAAATTAAAGTTGGTGCATGTGCATAGGAGAGACTTTGATGAGAAGGACATGAGCATTAGAATGAAGAACGCAAATTAAAAGGGAAAAGGTAAATCTAAGAAAACTTAGAAGGAAACCATAAAAAATGATTCAAATTATATAAATTTGGATGAGGGTATATGTTATGATCAAGCACGATGGCGATATGTGATTCATATAGTCGACCCCACTTAGTGGGATTTAACGGCTTGTTGTTGTTGTTTGGTACAATACAATTATCTTTTATTGTACAAAAATAAATATAAAAAAAATCACTCAATTAGTCCTCAGTTTTGTGCAAAGTCTACATGAATCGGCAAAATTACATAAAAATGCACCAATTTTAAAATTTAGCAATTTAATAAACAAATTTAACAACTTTACAGATCAAAGCACACCTTCATTAAACACCAAAATGCTAGTGGGTACCCAGATGGAAAACATATTCAGATTTATTAGGTTGTCCTGGTGGCGAACAAAAACCACATTAGGTTTCACATTGTTTGTTGCTAAATAACACTAATCCATATTCAACATAACAACCCTCATTTTCCATTCCTAGAGAATTACAAATTCTTCTGCAATTTCATCTTGAGGACCAACAAATGTTGAACAAATACAATGATAGTCGAGTTAGTGGCTAAACTTCAAACTCAAACCCATGTATTGGAGTTGTCAACCACGTGGAAGCTAATATGTTTAATTTTTGCCACTTGAACAACCTAATAAGTCCATGCAGTTTTGTGCCTAGTCCACATCAACATTCAAATTTCAAAGGATTGAGTTATTTTTTATATTTTAATTTGCAACAGTCGTTAAATTAGTGTACCTAGTACCTAATCGTCAAAGTCTAAAAGTGGTGATTATGCAATTTGCCTAATTTAATCAACTAATTCTAGTGTCATTTAGATGGGTTTTCTTTCAAATCTGAAAATGTCCATAGTAGGATCACTTTCTCTTGCTATATTAAATCAACCAGCATTAACAAATCAACATATTGAAATTAAACATATATATAAACCAAGAAAGGTATTTAATACCAAAGAAAAATAGTGATAGGTTAAGACTAACATTGATCTTTAGGAAAATAATTATATCCTCAAAGTCAAATGAATAACTTCACTGAATTCATAGTACTAAATATCAGAGGTCTAACAAGTCTTCATTTCAATCTATCAACCAACTAAAACAACCCAACCAAAAAAATAATGGAATTGCTAGTCTTACGTAGTTCCATTACTTGGTACGTTATGGGCAATTTTCTAAAAATGGACAAATCATCAAACAGACAAAGCAATAAGTTCAAGAATCAACAACTTTGACCATAGTTAAATCAATATCAAGTAATTAGTATTATAAAAAAAAAAATGTATATTATATTTGAAGCAACATCATAATTCAAATATTTTGAAATTTGAGAATAACATAAATATTTAAATTAACTAAAAAACAATCGATATATTTACAACAACAATATGTGTTAGTTTACGTAAAACATATATCAAAATACAATAAAGAACAAAAAATAGAAAAAAAAATAAATATATTAAATAACTAAACCAATTTTTGAGCAGTTCAACAATTGAATCATTCAATGACTGGTTTTCTTGCGAGAACCATTCCTTTCCCAACAATTGTAAAGATCTTATTGAATTAGCCAATCCAGGCTCTCATTTCTCAAAAGAAAGGTTATTGAACTTGAAAGGCTTGTTTTTGTAGTGACTAAAATGGGTTGGCAGGGATGGTCATCTAACTGTCTTTCAAAAGTGTTATGCAACATAGTTTGATTAATGCTATTAAAAAAAAAGGAAACTGGAAATAATTAAACCCTTACCGCATCTGAAACATCACAATGAAGCTTAGTTACTGAATCCCCACGTCCAAGCTCTTCCGGATAGCCATAGGCTATATATGTTTTAGGCCCCAGGTCCGGTTTGAGCATTTTTTCGGGTAACTTGGCAGCCAAATTTAAAATTCCAGAGTGTGGATGCGTGTATTCCTTGTAGGGCAAGGCATTAAGAAATTCTGCATTATGGCGCGGCAGCCGCTCCCCAAATAAAGTGGATGGGGGCCAATCCTTCAGCTTTAGCATTTCAGGCCAAGAAGTATAATGTCTGCGGCCTTCAGTATATCCTTTAAAAAACTGATGAATGTTTATATCAACCTACAAGTCCACAACAAAACAAAATTATTGTGGGGGCCTCACATAAATGAATGACAGGTGAATGTTGCTCAAAGCTCAACCCACTAAGAAATAATCTTAGATGGAAGCATGATCTTTGCCCATAATCTCACTAAATAAATAAATAAAAAAAAATAAAAAAAAAAAACTGCTCAAATGCTTTTTCAGAATTGTTCGAAATTTTTTACCTCACTTATGCAATGTCATTGAGAATTTATTCAGGAAACAGAATTATCTGTCTAGCATACTTAACATAAAGCTACGAAACAAGAAGTCAAACAGGCTCCATCCTGGCCCATAAAAATAAATAAATAAATAAATAAAAATACACACTTACACACGCATATATATAGGGAAAATATCAGGACAAAAGTAAACTGATGATTTGGGAGCATTTACCTCACAGAAGTCAAGGCAATCTAGTGCTGTTACCATCAAATCAGAGGAACCTTTCTTAATTACAACCTTACGAACAGCACGCCACATCACCATCGGGTCCCAACTCAACCCAGAAGTAAGTTTGAGAACATCCCGCACAATAATTGGCTCCCCCATTCTCCAGTGTCTCTGGAAGTGCTCCAGTTCCTGTAGCTTGATATCACTTGCCAAAGGACAGTAGAGGTGATTGTCATCAGAATTGACACGATAAGCGCACTTTCTTAGCTGCCCATCATCATTGGACTCCAAACATGGACACTGAGTGGCGCTCTGATACACCTCAGCAGGTCCACAAGCAGCAGTTAACCTTTTTGCCTTCTCTTTCAGCTCTAACAGCCAACTATCGTCAAAAATACACTTCAGCTCCAATTTGCCTTGTCCACACCCACCCCTTTCCTTTGGCGGGCAAGGGATTTCACCTAACAAAGTTGCTTCCCACTTAGGGAGTGGCATCTGCTCAGGCAAACTACATAACTTGTTGCTTTGTAATGACTTTGCTTGTTCTTCAGGAACTTTATAACTTAGTCCGTGTAAGTAATCTTTTCCTCTAGTGACATAATTAAAAAGTATACATTCACAACCCCTCAAACAGCCTTCTCGAATTTCCTTGCAGCAGGTCACACATAGATCATACTGATGACAACTTGGACAGCTTCGATGGAAATCAACTATAGAGGTTTTGCAATTGTCACTGCACAAAGAGATCTTAAACCATTCAAACCAGCACAACATTAGACACATTAAAATTTGATACAATCCCAAGGCTTACCAATACATGCGTTCATCTGGCGCGTAGTCAATTTTCTCTATCTTCACATCAGATGAGCCTGTACAAATAGCAATTCCAACGACAATGTTAACAGCAGAATGGTACTAAATACTCAAGGGACGATCCAACCCAAGCCTCTGCATAAAGGGAGTGACTCAACAATTAAACTTCCAAAATCAAAGACTTGTTGGCCATGTGACCTCACTTAAATAAAGAACCTTTTTGTAACAACTGGTTCAAACTTCCGAAACTAAAATAGCACAGTAAAGACTTGACATGAGACTTCTATTTCAGATGACAAAAGAATTCCCACTTTCAATTTTTTATTGCACATATTTCCACTTCTACGCATTAATGACATTCATTTCTACCAAAATGGTCACATAGAAGGAATACATTTGTCAATGCAATCAAATAAATTAGAATGCAGCTTGCCCAGACTCCATGATACCATATTAATTCCCATTTACATAAGTGTGAGTGTACACACGTATATCCAAGCAATTCATCCACCTAGCCAACCACATTACACATCTTCAAATTCAACAATACACGTCAACATTTTCAAATGACAATTGGTATTGTAGTTGAAGGGCATACAGATATTCATCAAAAGCTGTAAGAAATTCCAATATCTAAGGAAATCCACAGGAATAAACATGAGTGTACTAATGATTCCCAAAATTTACCACGAATCTGAGCCTCCACAGTCTTCTCTACCATCTGATCATGACAAAATTGTTCCACATAAGGCAGGAGGAAACCGATGAGATACTTCAGACACTGTATCTTCTGCCCATCATCTTTTGGATCACCAGAATACAGAATCTACAATAACATATAAAAATGGTAAAAAGCAGACAAGAAAAAAGAATTGATGCATGATAGGATGATACTCACCTTTGACTTTGGTATATTAGCTCCACGTAAACAAGCTTTACAGTTGCAAATTTCTCTACAAAATGGACAAGCCTCTACTATGGCTTCCCTTGATAGTTCTGGATACCTATAATAAGCACCCCAAACAAGAAAAGTAAAGAAGTGTCCAAGGAAAAACAGGCTTTAAAAGTTTGATGCTAATGGAGAGCAACATTTTCAAGGCACTTATGAGTGCCACAAAAAACATGTCCTAATTCTTTATCTCCAAAAAGTAGAATCTGGTATGCAAGAAGAAATAGTGGGGCTTTAGAAATAAGAAACTAGCTCTTAGTTCTACTACACAAGTAAAACAAAGAAAAATATACCATGCCCCAACGCATTCAAAACAATATCGCCTTCGAGGACATTTGCTGCACCTAACTACTTTCCTATCACTCTTCATGCATTGATGACACATCTGGAACGGATCATTCGGATCCTGTTCATTATAAAGTAGAACTAATGTAAAAGGAAGAGAAAAGAACAAATGAATGAGAGAGACAGAGAGAGACAAAAAAAGCAGAATTCAAGGTATAGTACAATCATACATCACTTATATATTTGCTGACTCTGGATGTTTTCACTGATTCTGAAGGCTTTATTTCTCTTAGTTCCATATCTGCTATGTTTTCCTCTTGCGTTCTCTTGCCTTTGATCTTCCTAGAACTCGATCCAGAACCCATCTCGACACTCCCAATAACGCCTTTACCCATCAACCCAGTTTCTGAGTCACAAGCAGAGCCATTTTCTTCTTTCTTGATTTTCGCTGTCGCCAAGATTACGTTATCTTGCACTTCCTGACTTTTGCCATTATTCTCCTGTGTACCAGAGTTCACCGCACCACTCTTTTTCCTCTTCTTGGCTAATTGTAACCCCGCGTCCTCATCAGAGCCCTTCATTTCGTCTTTTATCACTTGTGTTTCCTTCTCCTTTGACTTGACATCCTTTTTCTTCAACAAAGAACCATCCTTCTCACCCAATTCACCAAATTCGACGCCTTCGCAACTATCATCACCATCGTAATCACCCTCGTAATAAAAGTTCGGATCTTTATTCCTCGAGGTCCGTACTCTCCGCACAAACTCCGGCCTTTCGTCCTCTTTCACATCCTCCCCCGTCTCATCACGAATTTCACCATCCTTGTCCGCCACCTTGATCCTCCTCGACTTCTTCTCCGGGATCACCTCCTCGGAGGAAGAGGAACCGCCGTTCTTCTTCCTCTTCGAACGCACGCCACCGCCTCCGGGGACAGAAGATCGGTTTTTTCTAACCCTACTGGCGCCGGCCGAGGAGGAGGGTGAGGAACGCTTTATGCTGATGTGCTTCTCGCACAAGCTTGAGTCGTCAATCCTCCGCGACCCGTCTCCGGCGTTCTCCCGGCAGCCCTCGGCATCCGGCGGTGGTGGGTCCCCTTGTCCCTCGGTCATGACACGCGAACACTTCGCTAGCAGATCCGGCCGAAATTCTGGATAATATTATTTTTATGCAGGAAACGAATTTTGGAGTGAGACGGATATCACCTCACAATTATGATTAGGTGAGTGGGTTTTTATAATGCGACGATTAGGTTGGATTTTCAGTTCCCGCCCATGGTATGGCTGAAATTTTTCGGAGGCAAAAACCAAGGCGAGTGACTCCTCAGGTTAAGGGTGTTGTAATAATCCAAAACGAAAAATTTTTTTACTCTCCCAAAATATGTTATTGTTAGGAACAAGTGGATTTACCAATATTAACAATGATTATCTTTTCATTATTATATTATATAATGTATTGGATTGTGTGTCAAATTTGGCTATAAAAGGCAATGGATGTATTGCAATTGATGTAGGATGAAGTGAAAGAAGGAAAGAAAACTTAGTACAATTTACATCCGATTTTTACATTATGTTCTTTATTTTCCCCGTATTTTATAACACGTTATCAGCACGAGCGCTCTACCCGGTCAAGAAATGTAGGAATATAATAATAATATATATATATATATATATGTATTACATAAAGTTAGTATATTTCACTGATATATATATATTACAATTATTCTTGACAAGTTAGGCCCTGCCACAGTCAAGGATATGTGGTATGAATATACTAAATATGAATATATTACCATTATTCTTGATAAATTAGGCTCTGCCACAGTCAAGGATATGTGGTATGAATATACTAAATATGAATATATTACCATTATTTTTGACAAGTTAGGCTCTGCCACAGTCAAGGATATGTGTATACTAAATATGATATTATCTACACATTACCATTATTATTGACAAATTAGGCTATGTCATAGTCAATAATATGTGGTGATATGATATTATTAAATTTACTTATGAATTATTATTCAAGTTATAATAAATAATATTATTACATATACTTAACACCCACAAAATGGTTTACCCAGTAATGTGCGTGAAATTTATAACTACTTATTCTTGTACCCACCGAAAGATTTATCGAATAGTGTGGTGTGACATTTTTATTTGCTATGTTATTTACATTCATTAAATTGTTTACGTAATGACTCGGTGAATTTTTAAGATAATATACATATAATTAGCAAATATTATATCATTAATTTATTTCCAACGGCTACTTAACGGCTATATTGCAACGGCTATTTACTAATATCTTATATAACACTACAATTCATTTTCATAATCCAAACACTCAAAATATATTTTTTTAAGAAAAAAAAATGTTTGATCCATTAGTTATAATTACCATTATATTGTTTATTATATACGTTTTAATAATATTCGCAATGTTGTATCATTATGTTGAATTTATAATTTATGTATTAGACATTTGTATAATGTGTTTATTATTTCCTCTTTTGTACGCCTTGAAGAATTAATGATTGTATATGTAATTTTTCGAATCTAAGCATTGATGTTTTATTTTATAGTTATCATGGCAAATCTGGTCAAACTCGAATTTGAAGCTCTCGATATATCTGGAAAAAATTATATCTCATGGACATTGGATGCCGAAATTCATTTGGCGGCAAGGGGATTGGAAAAAACAATAATATCCCCAAATGATTCATCAATACAGGATAAAGCTAAAGCAATGATATTTCTGCGACATCATTTGAATGAGGCATTGAAAAATGAATATTTAACTGTTAACGATCTTGCGGATCTCTGAAAAGCCTTGAAAGAAAGGTATGATCACCAGAAAACGGTGATTATCCCCCGGGCTCGTTATGAATGGATGCATTTACGCTTCCAAGATTTCAAAACTGTAAACGAGTACAATTCAGCGATGTTCCGCATTTGCTCGGTATTGAAATTATGCGGAGAAAACATAACTGATTACGATATGCTGGAAAAAACGTTGTCCACGTTCCGCGCTTTAAATGTACTTTTGCAACAACAATACAGAGCAAAAGGCTTTGTGAAATATTATGAGTTAATTTCTTGTTTGCTGCTGGCTGAACAAAATAATGAATTGTTGATGAAAAATCATGAATCTAGACGTCCCTAAATAAATGTTGTAATATCTAGACAAGGAACCGGAACTGAAAACAGCCAAACACATATGCGTGGATATACCTCGGGACGTAGCCGTGGTCGTGGACGTAGACGTGGCCGTGGCCGTGGATATGGTCAGATCGCCGATTTGGACGAGGCCACAAATTTCACCCAGGGTATAACTCGGGCCGAGGGTATAATCGTGGACGAGGCCGTAACTATTCCCAAAATTATGAAAGGGGGAGAAATTTCCAGCCAAAATTTGAACAGAATAATGTGACGGAGAATAATGATGAAAAGGCATGTTATCGATGTGGAAGGACGGGACATTGGGCATGCAATTGTCGTGCTCCGAGACAAGTTGTTGACAATTATAACAATTCACAGAAATCAAAAGATAAGAATATAGAAACCAATTTTATGGTTAGGGAACCCTCTGAAAATGATTCAACACGTGTGGATGATGAATATGGCATCGATGACATATTGAACCTGGATTTTGCTGATGCGATAGTTGAAGACAGAGCTGGAAATGACCACGAGAATAACTGATGATCATGTTTTTTTTATTGATTTCTAAGTTTTGTTGTATGTGTGTCTTTATATGTATTTCGACTTTAATCAATAATAAATGTTGTTTTTCTTTTAGATCATGGATCGATCTCGAATCCAAAATGGAGATATATGTCTTGCAGATTGTGCAACTACTCATACTATACTCAAGGACAGAAAATATTTCATCAACTTGAAATTAAATAAAGCAAAAGTAAACACAATATCCAGAAATGCAAAGATAATTTAGGGTTCTGGAAAAGCCATATTTTTTATGATGGGAGGTACAAAGTTTACATTGAATGATGCATTATTCTCCCCAAAATCAACAACAAACATGTTGAGTTTTAAAGATATCCGAATGAACGGATACCATGTTGAAACAATGAATAAAGGGGGAGTTGAATATCTTTGCATTACCTCAAATATTGCGGGAAATAAATGTGTTTTGGAGAAATTACCAGCTTTGTCCTCGGGCTTATATTACACCCGCATTCATATTATCGAGACTTATGCTGCAACAAATTCACAGGCGGTTAAACTGTTTAAATTTTGGCATGATCGGCTTGGTCATCCTGGCTCAATAATAATGCTAAGAATTTTTGAAAATTCTAGTGGGCATCCATTAAAAAATCAGAGGATACTGCAAACACATGAATTAACATGTGCCTCATGTTCTGAAGGGAAATTGATAATAAGACCATCACATACTAAAGTCGGACATGAATCACCATTATTTTTAGAAAGGATTCATGGTGATATATGTGGACCTATTCATCCACCTTGTGGTCCATTCAGATATTTTATGGTGCTAATTGATGCCTCTAGTAGATGGTCTCACGTGAGTTTGTTATCCACTAGAAATGTGGCATTCGCTAAATTACTTGCCCAATCTATCAAATTAAGGGCTCAATTCTCAGATTATATTATCAAAAGAGTCAGACTTGACAATGCTGGAGAGTTTACATCTCAAGCATTTAATGATTATTGTATGGCAGTGAGAATTGATGTGGAACATCTTGTAGCACATGTTCACACTCAAAATGGTTTAGCAGAATCACTGATTAAACGATTGCAGCTTATAGCCAGACCATTGATAATGAGGACAAAACTCCCCACTTCAATATAGAGACATGCTATTCTGCATGCAGATAATCTAATTCGAATAAGACCAAGTGCACACCATACATACTCGCCATTACAGTTGGCATATGGTCGAGAACCAAATATTGCACATATAAGAATTTTTAGTTGTGCAGTGTATGTACCAATTGCTCTGCCCCAACGTACGAAAATGGGGCCTCAAAGAAGGTTGGGAATATATGTTGGATATGAATCTCCATCAATAATAAAATACCTTGAGCAAAAAATAAGTGATGTTTTTACAGCTCGGTTTGATGATTGTCATTTTAATGAAGAATTATTTCCCCCTTCAGGTGGGAATGAAAAGTCAATTGAGAGAAATATTGAATGGAGAACATCATCACTATCATATCTTGATCCTCCCACCAAACAAAGAGAGCAAGAAGTTCAAAAGATTATATATCTGCAGAATATTGCAAATCAATTGCCAGATGCATTTACTGACACAAAAAGGGTGACAAATCACATGTTGCAGCTATAAATACCCCTGCTCAAATTGAGATTACAAAAGAAATGGCAAATGACGATGTGCCAAATGAATTAAAGGCACGCTTGGAACGAGGAAGACCAATGGGATCTAAAGATAAGAATCCTCGAAAGAAAAGAGAAATTGAAGATTCGAATTTGAAAAAGAATCAAGATGATGGAAAAATTTCGGAACGAAATGAAAATATTGAAATCTCCATCAATTACGTAAATAATGGGAAACTTTGGAAGCGTGATGAAATCATTGATGATGCATTCGCATATATGGTATCACAAGAAATTGATAAAGACGTTGAGGATCCTGAACCAAAGTCTATGATTGAATGTCAGAAAAGACATGATTGGGACAAGTGGAAAGACGCTATTCAAGCTGAGTTAAATTCACTTAATAAACGAAAGGTTTTTGGACCTATTACCATTATACCCAAAGACATAAAACCTACTGGATACAGATGGATTTTTGTCAGAAAAAGAAATGAGAAAAATGAGATCACAAGATATAAAGCTCACCTTGTAGCACAGGGATTCTCCCAGAGGCCTGGGATCGATTATGATGAAACATATTCCCCTGTTATGGATGCAATTACTTTCAGATACTTGATTAGTTTGGCCATCCATGAAAATCTTGAGATGCGTCTCATGGATGTTGTGACTGCTTACTTATATGGATCGCTAGACGCTGACATTTATATGAAAATTCCAGAAGGAATTAGAATACCCGAGGCACTAAAGTCCAAACCTAAAGAGTTATGTGCGATAAAACTGCAAAGATC